ATTCAAATTGATCGGGATATTCTTCCCGAGTCCTTCGAACTGCGACGTCGCGTCGTCAGATACCGCTGACAGGAGTCTTTTGGAGAGATGGTTCACGCTGAACTCGATTTTCTAGATTGGATGCCGAGTGTGTCGTTCGTTCGAATGCTAGATCGATAGAAGGCGGAGCTTGAGCCGATTCCCGGCGTACAGCTGAATGCAGACTCCAAAACAAGCTACGAACGGAAACAGCTTCGGGTCTGAGCAGTATTCGAGTCTTCCGTTTCCGGAAATTGTTCCTCCGATCAGTCACTAACAGGTTGAGGGAAATTCCGGACGAAGAACAAGAGCGCCCGGGCTGACAGTCCTTGTACTGGCGAGTCCGAGCGGGTAAGATTTACACGTAAGTGAGTCATGAGAACGGCTTCCTCGTTTGCGACAAGCAGCTGCCGGAAGGAAATCCAATTAGGATCCTCCATCGAGAGGATGCGGATATTCAGGAGCTAGCTGGAAAAAAATCCAAGCGGGCTTCTGGAGTTCACTTGGGCCGTTTGCTTTTCGTTGAGTTCATTGATGTATTTCATACATGGGTCGTCGCTGCAAGGGACTCGAATGCTGCGCCTGAACGGCTTGGTCTTAGCTAGAGTTAGCGAGCAGGTCTTCTCGGCATCGTGCAAGCTCCGTGAATCTAAGATTTCAAGCGAAATCTACGACTACTGCGGGTCTGCGTCTACCGCATTGACTTCAGTCATCTTCGTGCTCCGAGGCTCCGTTCGCAGTGAGGCAATGGCATCCGACAGAATTACTTTTTTTTCCTCTCTGATATCGGCTGTCTTTCTGAAACGTTGCAGCTGTTCCAATCGGAAAGAGCTAGATCCGAGCCTCCACATCAAAAGCTTCTGAAACTGCCGCCGAATGTCAAAGAGCGTCGTAATTAGATTCCACGTCTCCCAGATGCTCGCAAGCGCACGTCGGTAATTCGACACGGACTATCGGTCAGGGGGGAATTCTTTGGAGATTATGCAAAGGAGTTCCGCGGCTCCCGGCGAGTAAACGGGAACATTACGCATAGTGCATCTCCGAAGCGCCTTTTCGAGGCCGACCGTTTCAGACGGTACGTACGTTTCCGTGATTTCGCCGACCTTCGAATCAGGTCTCCGACTCAGACTCGTTGAGGATGATCCATTTGTCAAATGTCCCAGCCATGAGAGGCTCGACTCGGAACAGGAACACGGTCGCCGGAAGCTTGCCTCATCGAGTTGTCGAGCGCTAGGTCCGGAGAAGGCTCCCGGAGGGTAATGCCCCGTCGACTCCATACATGTCGCACAAACAGTTTGTAGTTTCAGTCTCTGACGGCTGCTTGCTCCACTACACCCGGGAGTGCTCGGCAAGTCTTTTCCGAGAGTGTGAGCAAGCGGCGAGATTCCTGTCCTTTGTGTCCTCAATGGAGCTTTTCATTAGAGTCGACAGCAGCAAGTACGGGCGCGAGACTCCGAGCGGCGGCATACCGGAGAAGGAATGTAGACTCGTGCTAATGTCACCCCGCAACTCGAGAAACTTGCGAAGTGGCAGAGGCACTTTCGAAAGGACCCGGAGCATGTTCCCGACGTCTACTACTCGCCCTGCTTCCCGGATCAGCTGTTGAACTCGCTCAGGAATTGACAGAATCACACTATGCTGCGGGAAACAGAGTCTTGAGACCGTATCCAAACTCCAAGCCAACCATGAACGTTCCATCCATTTCCGAGACGCGCGAATTTTCGCGTGGCCTGGGACCGTGATTCTCCACGGCGACAACGGGCGAGCACGTCTCTATCTCGGTCGAGACTCGTTCCAGCCTCGAATTGTGTGGCGATTGCAGGGTATGTTGATAGTCTCGTCTCTCGTGATGGTCCTGAAATCCACGGAGGAATCGACGCTCAGAGGCCGGACCCAAATAGATCCGTCATTCAGAACGAGTAATCGATAGTCTCGAGATTGCTTAGTAGACGATAGAGCTGGACTCGGTCCATCGAGCTCTCATTCAAATAATAGAGAAGAGAGCGAGAGAGCTTCTGAAATATTTTCGATACTCGCTCCGAATGGGTTTAGGTGCATAAACCTAGAATGAATTCCGCCAGGAGCAACAACGGAAGATCCAGTCTTCCTCTCTCCAAAGTGTCCTATCTCGTGGGCTTCTGTAAGCGAGCAAAGACGATCAGGACCACGCTTCTTCATTCCCGGTACCGCAGGGACGAGAGAGAAAGTCATGTGAGGATCGAAAGAGCTTTCGAGTACGCCGCTCATTAATTGGAGCGCGTCTCCTGAAGCGTACGGGAGGTATAGAGGGGCAAGCCACAACTCGACGGTGATCTGACTCACTATCGGATGGCCCTCTGACACTGATTACTCCGTTCGTTAGACAAAAGCCTTGGAGAAGAATAGCTCGAAAGAGATCACTTTCCAGCCAGGCGGGTCCCGAATCCTCGTCGAAAACGGAGCTCGATGGATCGAGTCCTCACCCGTATAAATTCTGCCTCAAAATTCTTCGTTCGACTATTCTCATCGCATCAGACGATGCACTGCGGCACGTGAATTCGCTCGTAGAAGCAATGTACGTATCTTCTTATTGGGAACATCGCTCACCCGGTTTTCGGTAGAAATCATTGTGTCTCGCGGCAGCCGTGGGCTCAGCAGCAGCTGTCCTAATCGGGAGAAGCTATTGCGACAGAGCTTGCTCTAATTTAAACTTAACAGCATTCCGACGCAGCACGGGGTTCGAGACAGGGGGCAGGGACGTAGAATGGGGTCCGAGCCGAAGAACGAGCGAGCGGGAAGAATAGCACAGAGATTAACGGGATTAGAACCCTAGAGCTCCTGGCTTTGTTCGACGGTGCGTGCCCGACCGCCCAACCGCCCACCGGCCCGACGGAGCCAACCTCGCCAGCTACCGAGGCAGCCCAGCAGCCTGCCAGCCTGTTTGCGAGCCATCCGTGTTCGCATGGATCTGTGGGATTAGAAAATCACGCGGGAAGCGACCGGTACTTCCGGACTCGACTCCGGGAGAGACGGTTGTGACGACGACACGCAACGCCACGACCGCGAACTAGTTGATGGGCAGAGAGCCTCAACCGCCTCGACATGGACGACGAGTCGCGGGGGGCTTACGCGCCAGCTCGAAACAGGAACATCGGCGCTTCGGTTTCACCGGCGTTCTATCCGCCTCCTGCCGACTCACTGGGGCCGTTCACGTCACGCGCCCTCCTTTTCCAGGCTACACTCGGAGAGCTCCCACCGCCTTCGACAAACACACTTCGCGGGGTGCGGCTCCAGCCCATGCTGATCCGCTACGGAGCTCTTTTTTCTTGGAAGATGTCTTCTGACGCTTCCAGAGTCGGTGAGGCTCCCGCCTCCGATTCCGATTTTTGAGAATTCTGAATATCTTATCGAGAAATCGAACAATACCCTCGCGACACTGCAGAATATCGGAGAAGTTTCCAAGTCGGAGGCGTTCGATTCCCAAAATACCCGGGTGCGATTTTTTTCAAAATGATGCGCTGTACCCGCTATCAGAGGAGTCCCTTTACAGCCTTTATGATCTTATGGTCTCTAGTGATAATCACACGAGAGTCTCACGACTCAGGAAGGAGAAATCGGAAAAGTTCGCGAATTCCGTGACTCGATTTTCAACTGCTGCCGGCCGGGATACGATTTTGCAACCCTTGCGGCAGCATCGATCCCTAGCTTCGCACCGTATCTGTCCACATGGGGCCCAGATAAAAAAGCCGTTCCCTATTATCACAATCTGCCAACCTCCAAAGCTTTTTTGTAAGCTTGACGAGTTCTTCTTATTCAGACATGCATAATGAAAATAGTCCGAGGCAGCAAATATCAATACATTTAGGGAATGAGGAGAAAAGTTCCACCCATCCAGGATCGCCGAAGCCAAGGAGCGAACGGGAGCACCTCAAGCATTTTCCCGCTTTGTGTTCCTCACATGGGCAACTGACTGGGGAGCCTGAAGTCCCGGTCACGTAGGCGACCGTGGAGTATACCTGTACGTCTGATTGCGAACGCTAATCGTGCCGGCTGAGCTCAACGGAGCATAGGCTGACTGAGACGCAGGCACACGAAGAGTGCTAGGGAGAGGATTCAGTTGGAGATAAGGAAGACAGAGAGACCCGATGCGAGCCGATAGGGGTGACGGACAGGCTCGTTGATGGAGACCCTCTCCCGTTGTTCAGAAACGAACTTCAGAAAACATCGCCCTTCAGAGAACACAAAACGCTGCCTGCCGCGATCTTTCATCGAAGATGCGCAATGCGTTTATTCACGACCATTCAAATCAGGACCTAAACAGGGGACACAGCGATGACCGAATAGCCGTGCAGGAGTGTTTTTTGGAAGATCGTGGTGGTGATTCGCCCGGACTGACTGTCTGAGTGGTTGCCCGCTGGCGCGCTCTCTAGACAGCTCTAGCGGAAGAGTGGCCGCTTAGCGCGGAAGCGATCATGGACCCTCGCGAACGCTGGAGAAGGGGGTTGCTCGGTTACGGAAGTCCTTACTTTCTGAAAGGCTTCGTCGTAGATTGGCTTCACCGGAGAGAGCTCCGAAACATCGGGCTGATGCCAGTCCTACCACGCACGACCCTGTTCCTATTGTTCTCCATGCCGATCGGCTCGATAAAGCGATTCCCTGTATGCGTGTGCCTTTGAGCTCGCTCCTGAGCGGGTTAAATATCGGAATGCCGACGAGACGATCAGTGCGGATTTCTTCGTGCAGCGGGACTGCCTGTGCTTAATGCGACGACACAGCATGAAGATGCACCTCTTCGCTCCGACATTGGACGAACGCGTCTCCGGTATGATTGTCGCACGGATTTAAGCTCTTAGATCAGAGGGTCCCAGGTGTGGTCGTGGTTCCGTGTGAACCTCTTTCCTCTCACTCTGATCGATCGGTCGCTCGGAAGGCCCGTACCATACTCGGTGGCTCCCTCTAGTGGGATCGTGAAGGGTATTTCATATTTTTGGTTCTTTAAGGGTGCTCCTTACGGAGCTGCAAAAATTGCCGTTAGGCTCATTGTAGGTGTTCCTCCGCACGGATGCGTTTAGTAAAAGGCGAAACGCATGTTCGTCCTTGCGGTGAAACCTGAGCGATACTTCAATGGCCATCGTTCGCGGTCTTCGCCGCTTGACCGTCACAGCCTGCCTTGGGCCCTAGTGCGACTTCGAGGCCAACTAACACAAAACGGGCTGATGCTGCGCTTGAACTACCAAGTCTCTCAGCCGAAGAGCTACCAGAACTGATATTCCATATCTCTGGATAGGGGAACGTATGAAGGCATTCGCTTCCGAAAGTCACTCCACTCACGAGCGAGCATAGAATGTGTGCGCCCGGCTCAGCGGGAGAGGGCGAGAGCATGCCGAGAGGTACTGCGGCCTTCGAAGAAATTCGTGTGAGTTGAGGGTTGCGCTCGAGGCTCTGATGGATCAATTTCCGTCCGGCGATTATTTCTGTGCTGGGTGATTGAAATTGGAAAAGAGGGTGCTCGAAAATCCCATAACAAGAGAATCGATTGATACGATCATAATATCAAGTCCCAATTAAATATTCCTCAATGAACCCCTGAGATCTCGACCCTAAAAACTCTTCGTGTGAGAAAATTTTCCCATTCGGGAAATCGAAAAAAGGGGTTGGACTCCGGTCGCGAACACGACACGAGCGGAGAATTTCCGTAACATAAGGGGCGACCGTTGTTTCGAATATCGTCTGCGAGAACCTGGAAATTCTGCGAAATATCGCGGAAAATTCTAGCTCTACCCAAGAGGCTACCTCAGCGAGCTTTTACTCGGGTGAGAAACTTTATTCAGTTCTCACTCCGCCCCACAATGCACATTGTGAGACATTGTTGCTCTTATAGTCAGTGCCTTTCCTATCATACGCGAGGCCACTGTCGAGACTCACAGTTTCAGGAATTCGAATTTCAGCCTTTCTTGTGCTTGAGATTCCTGGATAGTATCATTGTTTTGAGATTAGGATTTCAGGGGCTCTTATGAATCCTATTTTCTTGGAGGCTCCCGTGACGCATCACACGTTCGTTCATATTCCGTGACACAAGTTGGAACAGCGCCGGCAGGGAAATGGTCTTCATTAAGGTCACGAGCATAGGTTCACGATCAGACTAGATGAAACACAGCTGTTGACGTGTCTCTCCAAGCTCTGAGGACTGCGCGACTCATAGTTCATGGAAGATTAATATGACAAGCGAAGGTTCGTTTCTCTTCTCTCGGCATTATTGAAGGGGCCACGATGAAGCATCGGCTTCTGAGCCTTCCGCTACCACGTAAAAACTGCCTTGAGGATGGAACACTTGACAAATGACAGAGTTAATGCCTTGCTTGCCGTCGGGCCCGAACCGAAAAGCCCAGCACGTGATAAGACTCGAGCTAGCTTCCAGGTGGCTGGTTTTCGTCTGTTAGAAAGATAATCCATCCGTCAGGTGGCCGGAAACTCCTCGACGCGAGCATCCGAAGTCGTTTCTAGTCTTTCAGACTCGCGGCGAAGCCTGCTCGTCGCATGTTCCACCCACATGGCGCGCCACTCGTGATCGTCGTCGATGCATGCCTAGGTGCGGGGCCGCGCCCCTCACTCGCAAGATTTTGGCAGGACAGCGCAGCTGTTCGCCGTTTCGTTTCATGAAGGGGAAACTCTCAGATCGAAAATTTTTGGTTTTCCATCATCCTCCTGTCGCGCTCCAATCGTGCAGAAGCAACGCCACGGGACTCGTGGGGAACGAAACGCAAGTTTCCGAGTAATTGACTCCGAACAGGACTCGACTCCGCTGAACAATAATTTTTGCTGGGATTCGGATCAGTCAGCTCCGCATGCCGCGAGTCGGTCGTTCCCCGAACGGTCTTCAAAAGGAACAAATACTCGCAGATACGAATGCAAGCCCTATTCCGCTCCAAATATTGCTCTCCCGTGGAGGGGCATATTGCGGCGCCGGATAAAATCCGCTCGGCTGACCGCCCGCCCGCCCAGACATGTGTACTCCTTCACGGATGCCTCCGGGAATCTGTCTTTATTACGCACGCAAGAGGCATCGCCGAAATGTGAACTTCTGAGTGTTTCGTAACCGTTGTCCCTCTCCTTGGATATAGTCACTGAGCCACATGGTCCGTTCACGATGTTGTCAGAGTGAAGGTGCAGATCCTGGGAGAACAGGCCCAACGCAAAAGATCCCATCTGTGACGAGGAGCGGAATCCGTCCGTATTGGAGTATCTCTTATGAGCATGAACTCTAGAGAGTAAGTTCTGCCGCTGTTTGTCGCATATTTGCGGAAACTGGAGATTGGGCAGGGATCACTTCCCTGCAAATAGAAGGGCAGCGGCGAGAGGAAGAAGGTCAACTCGAATGGGTGATATACGTCCTCGACTCAAGAACATTGCGTGCGGAAGAACCGTGGGCTAATTCGACTTGTCTTCCGGGACGATTTCATTTCGAGTCTTTCGCGCGATCCCGTATCGAATCCCCAGCCGCGCTATAGAACCAATTATCGGGAATGAAGAGAGTCGGATCATCGATTCCCAACGAGGCGGGAGGGCACCATCGATCCATCGCTCGACCACCTCTCGAACCGCTCTAGAAGTCTCTGCGGAAATTCTCAGTCGATACGAGGCTTCGGTATCCGATCGATCACTCCGTTGACTGAGTTTTACTCCGATACGACTTCACCTGGCAGGGGAAAATCTCGTCGTTTGCCAGTCACGTTGCACTCAAGGGCCGTCCTGACCTCCGACACAAGACGAACCAGTCGCATATCTACGGTGTCCCCGTAGCGGGTGATAGGGCCCAATAAGATAGCAGTGAATAAAAAGCCGTCCGTATCTCTGAGCCTGACAGTCCTTTTGCGAAATCAGTGACGGGAATAAAATCTCCCTGTGAGTACATTCTTCGTGTTCCAGCAACAGGGTTCAAGATTGCGTCCAGAATTCATCTGTTTATAGCTGACTTGGAGGACCGATGAAGCGGGAGTCGCTTCCGTCGGGCAGGCCAAAGGACCTGCCGAGGCTCGGCGTGCGCAGTCGGTCCTAGTCGGACAAGGAAGTCCCAGTCGGAAATCTCTGCGACACCTTGTCCCTCGCGTCGCTCCTCTGCTGACGAGTTGAATGTTCCGACAAGGGCTCGGGTGTTTGCCGAGTTAGGCACTCGGGAACGCCGGGAAACGCCGGCGACCGACGACGGGGTTTTAGAAGGGTGAGAGGCCCAGCGGCTCTCAATCAGGAGCACTTCTCTCTCCTCAGTCAGTCACTGCTCAGTTGACACCCCCACTTTGGAAAAACACCTCCTTGTCGGTCGTTCCTCGGCTCGCCTTCGCGAGAGCTCCATGCAGAAGTACGAAGTGGGGAGAGATGCCTGTCACGTATAGCTTGTAGCGAGCAGGCGAGTCGCTCGTAGGCTTCCGCCGCCGGCCAGTAAATGGGTTCACGTAGCAGAGACATTTTTCTCATTTTCGCGGCATGCCCCCTCCCCCTCTGCTCCACTACGCCCCTTCCCGAGTCGTTCCTTCGGTACCCGCATCTCACCTCTCCACCCGTCTGTCCCCATCAACCCCGGATCTCCCCTCCCGAGGTCTCGCCTACCACAGCCTTGGAGAAGGAGACGACCGTAACGGCGGGGACACCACGCTGCACGCCTACGCGATCTGCCTCGCAATCCCTCGAGGAATGTCTAGGTAGGGATTGCAGACCGGCGCCAGTGCGATTCCACGTGAGTCCGTGAGTCTCGGGGCAGCATCATCATCATCACCGCGACAGCCCGCTCCTCCGCGGCGCAAGATTCTTTCCAATGTCCTCTCTTCCTTCGAAAGCGAGCGGGCAACCTGACCTCGCGCTGATGCTCATGGGGGCTTCTTCGACGATTGATGCATGCCGATCGGTGGTAGCCAGAAGTTGTCCGCGAGACCTGGCAGGAGAATACAATGATGATGGTCGCCTCCGGAGAGGGAATCCTCTTATTCCTTGGTGTCGTCTCCGACACACCCGACTCGCACCCTGATTGGTCGGGCGATGCCGTGCGACGGTCTGGTTCCCTGCGTCGACATTATCGGAATACGATCGGCAGGTGTGACCGTCGTCAATCCCCTCGGTTTCTGGACAGGATCCTCGGTTTGGTCCAACTTAGCGACTCCGCGATCAGAGCGGTCTACATGGGGATTACGAGAATACTTTTCCCGAAGCATGCCTCAGGGATGACTCATCTGCGGACAACGAAAGGTTGGGTTCAGATTACGCCCGCCTTGCCGGGGCTTGAATCGTTCCTTCCACAAAGCAAAGGGAAGAAATCTGGCTTGAGGATCTCTTAGCGACCCATGAGCTCGATCATGTGTTCGGACTGGAATTCTGCTCTCATGGAGCTTCTTGCGGAGCCGAGAGGCATCTGAAGACACCGCTCATCAGTCCGCATTTGACCGCTCCTCGGCCTGTACCATCTAGATAAGCAGCCCTGGTTTTGTTCCGACGAATAGGTGAGCAGCCGATGGAGCCTTGGC